GATTGACTTATTTCACTCAGCATAATGTCCTCCAAGTTCATCCACGTTATGCGGTGTTTTGCAGATTCTACATTATTCTTTAGTGGTGCATATCAATATAGGTTTTATGTAATTTTTTAAAGCTTACTAGGTGACTCTAAAATGCAGACAAATTTAAGCAGCACTGCTTCTGAATGTTTCTCAATGACGAGTGTTCTGAGCATGTAGTGCTTATCTGCTTCTGGATATTTTTATCTTATGTTATGAAAGCAATAAAATAATTGAAATATGAGTATTAATAATCAAGACTTCCTAGAAACATCAAAATAAAGAACTCCATTATAATTTTCTTAAAATGAAGACATTAACATAACCACATACTCAAATTATAAAAGTTAAACTTTTTTAATTTGAAAAAGTAGTGACATTTCTTTACATGGTTATAAACTATAATTTCCAACAAAATATGTTAAGAAACCTACATACATAAACAAAATAGAAAGACTCATGCGATTTGTAACATACCCAGGGGTGCAAATTGGAGTACACTGATGAATGCCTCATATATACCCCTCTGCTGGATGGAAACATCTCACATGATAAAACAGGATAACAGAGTTCTCATAAGACTAGTCCCCATAACATGCATACTTTACTCCTATGCTACAGAATACTGCTGGAGAAAAAACTGTCGCATTGTAAATAGGTTCTCCAGATGTGACCAAGCCTAGCAACTAGTAAAATGTCTTTTAACTTTCTGGTTAACTCTACCCTCTCACTGAATTTCAATCAAATGCACCCAACTCTTCTAAAAATTTCACAGAAAAGTAAGTTCATCAAAGAAAACATCACTTATCTCCATCTTATATTGCTACATAAACATATCCCTTAACTATTTTTCCTAATGTTGTAGAAAAGATGTTCTCACACACCATGGTTGGTTATTTTCTTTGGCTTGGTCTTAGATGTGCTCCTTTAAAAAAGAGCTTCCCTCTACACCATGCAATTCTCAGCCTATATAACTATGAGACCAGAAGGACCAGATGGTGCCTGGCTACCACTGTCAACTACTCAGATGGGGATCTATGTAGCAAATCCTGGATAGAGTGGGAGAACAATGTGGAACAAACTCAAAATCACTTGGGGGGGGGCAAAAAAAAGGGACCAGGTTTGTTGGTCTGACAGAGCGTGAGGGAACCCCTGAGACTATGGCCCCTAGCTGCCCTTCAGGTCTGCAACTGAACCCCTAGTAAACACAATCTGTATCCAGTAAACACAATCTGTTTTCTAGTTGTCCAGGTTAAAAGCTAGCTATTTTTTAAATAACATTTTTCTTCCTGTAACATCTTAAGTCTCATGGAGGAAATATCAAAATAAAGATAAATTATGTAAAGTTATAGAGAATCATTAACCTTTTGAAATTCCCCATCCTGCCACTCCATCAAAATGTGTTAAAAAGGACTTCCAGGGATGGAGGAATAGGCAGACAAGCTACACAGACCCTCTTCAACAAAAAAAAAGAAAAACCAATTGACAGAGATACAGAAGATAATCCTGAAGCCCTGAGCTTTGAAAAGAAGTATATAGAAGTAGATTAGACACCAACTAGTGGAAAAACCTGAATGAAAACAGTGAGTATGGAGACGGTTGGAGCTGCAGTCTGTCAGCTACTCTGACAGGGCCAACAGCCTGAATACTTCCAAGTGGTGTTCGGATTTGAGAAGTGACCTAAAGATCAGCCCTGGTCGCCAGCTGTGGGGACAACTGTGCTGGTGGCCTATGACTAAGAAGGAAAACAGCAAGGAGGGAGACCTGAGTTGTGGACTTCTGGCTGTCTGGAGGGTGCAGTCATTTTGATTGTTCACAAGCTTCGGCCACTGTGTTTTGGATATTTAAAGTGACCAAGGGTGCAGTCATTTTGAATGTTTACAAGCGGCAGCCATTTTGGATTTTAAAGTGACAGCATTCTCACTCGGATTCCAGGGACCTAAGAATAGGCTCCATTTGCCAAGGACAGCAGGGACATACGGGAGCTTGACAACGGGAAAGGAGATAGGTAGTGAGTGTGTAAGAGAGGAGCACAGTACCCTGTTTACATAGATAACATCCAAAGAAAATGAAAATCATGGGCAAGTCACTCTAACACACAATCACCAATTAAATATAAACACAAAAATGTGACAATGTCTCAGAGACAACAGAGTATCACAGTCCACACAAAGAAGCAAGATAAAGCAGGAGAAACAAGGGACCAGGATATAGACCCAGAACACAACCCTGAGGAAGCAGCAGCTTGGAACTCCCTGATAATTCAATTAGGACATTTCCAGATAAGCAGAAATTAAGGGAATTTGGTAAAACCAGATCAACTTTACAAGAGATGGTAAAGAAAGTCCTTTGTGCAGAGAACCAACAACAGCAAACGGCAACTGACCATTAACACATATGACATAACCCAGATACCAACCCAGTTATGGAAGTATCCAAAGTAAATAAGCCCACAAGATTATAAACAGGGAACCAGATATCAATTGACAAATGAAGACAACGACAAACCAAAAAGAGGGAAAAAAATGTATAGTTACAGAACTTCTAAATGGTAGGGAAGTCAAGACAACTACAAGATAGAATGGAATGCTCTGAACTTGGGAAGAAAATTATAAACCACAGGGTAACCTCAAAGAAAAACGATAAACCTTCCCATCAAAACAACAGCAATGAAGGAAGTGGTAACATGATTCATAAACAAAACGAGCTCAGCATAGCTAATTATATGGAACAAAGAAATCAGCAACACCATGGAAAAGCACATAACAAAATGACAGAAACAAATTGATACTTGTCAATAACTACATATCTGACAAGGGACTTATCTCTAAAATTTATAGAAATTCCAATCCTCAATAACAAAAATAGGAACAATCTAATTAAAAAATGGGCAGAAGATATGGATACTTCACCAAAGAGGATATTCAGGCAGCCACCAAATACATGAGGAAATGCTCATGATCATAGCCATCAGAGAGATGCAAATCAAAACAATGAGATACCATCTCATTCCAGCATTAATGGCAAAGTTCAACAAGACAGAAAGTAACAAATGCTGGTGAGGATGTGGAGAGATTGGGACTCTCATCTACTGCTGGTGGGACTGTAAAATGATACAACCGCTGTGGAAAGCAGTATGGTGATTCCTTAAAAAGCTGGAATTAGAAATACCACTTGACTGAACAATTCCATTCCTAGGTATATATCCTAAAGAAGTGAGGGCCAGGACAAGAACAGGTACGTGCACACCCATGTTCATCACAGCACTATTTACAATAGCAAAAAGATGGAGACAACCTATGTGCCTATCAACAGAAGAATGGATAACCAAACTATGGTACATACACACAATGGAATACTATGCAACACTAAAGAATAACGTAGAATCTGCAAAACACTGCATAGTGTGGATGAACTTGGAGAACATTATGCTGAGTGAAATAAGTCAATTACAGAAGGACAAATACAGTATTAGTTGATTATTGTAAAAAGTCAAGGAAAGGTTTATATATGGAAGGAAACTTTCTTTGCTGGTTACCAGGGGTGGGATGGGAGAGGAGGGAACACTGCAAAAACAAACAAACAAACAAACAAACCAAATCACTTTAGTTTTGTGTATTTCACAGTACATAAATTATATTTCAATAAAATATATTTTTTAAAAAAGTGTTACATATCTTAGAAAACAGTGGTTTCACATTATACTCCCTCCCCACCCCCAAGATTATTTATTCTCGAGAAAAGCCTTTAAATTGCTTGAGTTACCTCAACTATATTATGCATGTGAGGAAGCAGGCGATCCATTCGAACTTCAAGCAACATCACAAGAGCCCGGCACACATTTTTCCGTACCTCTGGTTCTTCATCACCAGCCAATGCAAAGAGATTCTATTACAGAAGAAACACATTTTTTCCCCTTAGTCTCAAAATCTGGATACATTAGAAAGGTTTATACATAAAGATAAGAAATCTTTTAAGTTGGTGACATTTAAAGAAATCTAAGAAGATATAATAAAAGTACTGACTGAATTAACTGGCCTAAAATATTAAATACTTAAATACAGGATATAATAACTTTCAACAATTTTGATTATGATAATGAAAGCCATTCTTTGATAAAGTAGAATGAGTTGTGTTCTGAAGTTATTTTTAGTTTGTGAGAATAAAACCATGTCATTAGGATAAAGGGGCATTCACCCAGTAACAACCATCAAAATACAGTTTGATTTAGAGACTTTGACTTTCACATGTTACCTGCTAGACTGAATAAATCCTTCTGGTATTTCTGCAAAATGTTTGTATTTTAGTATACAATGTTTACTGTATTTGGATTTATATAAAACAATGCTTTTCGAACTACCTATGGCTCAGTTTTTTTTTTTTTTTAATTTCTTATCTACTGCTATACAAGTTTTTCAACGCTCCCTTTAATAATATCTGGTCTACAGAAGGCTGGTTCAAACTCACCAGCCACTCCTCGGAAGGAAGACTGGGCAATCAATCGCCTTCTGTAGAGATACTGCCTCGGAAACCCAAGGAGGGTCGCTTTGAGTCCGAACTGACTTGACAGCAGTGAGTTTATTCTAAACAGTATTTCCTTATAAGAACTGGTACATCTATCATTGTTCCCTTTACTGAACAACAAAGAACACTAAGAAATACTAATATAATTACAACTACTATTACCACTTCTAAATATAATAGCAAGGAGTTCTGGTAGCCACGTAGTTAAGGCACTGGGCTACTAACCAAAAGGTCGGCGTTCAAACCACCAGAAAGAAAAAGATGAAGCAGTCTGCTTCTGTAAAGCTTTACAGAATTGGAAATGCTGTGGGGGTCACTATGAGTTGGAATGGACTTGATGTAATTGTTACTATATTTTAACATATAATAACAACTAACATGTAGAATGTATACTCTTGTAGGAACTGTTTCAATTTATTTATACAAACTATCTTTATAACAATCCAAGGCAGGCCTATTATTAGCCTTATTTTACAGATGATGAAATTGAAAGCATCCTTTAAGTAAGATGCCCAAGGCCACACAGTGGCTAAACTGAGAAGCTAAGATTTGAAAGCAGGTGATCTTACTCCACATTTCCAGGTCTTATCCACCACACCATTCCATCTCTAGACCAAACTAGGCTAAAAACAGAATTATACATTCCTGGCACCAACCTCACGGCCTGATTCATAGTAGGTACTCAATAAAACCTATTTCAATTTGTAAATGACTTGAGAACTCTTATGTCTTAGTCTATTGGTAAAAGATGTTCAGAAAGAAGCCATTCAATTTAAGAGACGAGGAAAAATGAAACAAAATGAATTCCCTGCTACTAAATATGACATGTTTCTTCTGCTATAACTTTCCAACAGTAATATCAGCAATCTAACCACTGAATGATTTGAAATGACCATTTAATCAAATCTCATTTGTTGAAAATAAAATGCTCAAGAAACTTTAACAGCTCTTTCAATTATTGTTATCAAGTTGTAGAGGTTCCAAGAAGGAATTCTACTGCTCATGGGTCGTGGCCAAAAAATTATGCTTACTGTCTTTCTGTTTTTACCAAAAGTTAAAAGTGTTTTTTAGAGATGCTTGTTGAAATTTAAGACTTAATTTTCCCTGCTACCTCTATTTTACAATGGGCATCAACAGAAAACCAGATACAATGTCCTTTTTAGTCTGTGCCTTCAAATTCTTTATCAAGTCACATTTATCCAACTTCATCAATTTTTCACATTTCATACACAATTTTAACAGAATAATGAAGAAAATTTTAAAGTTTCAAGATATTAAACACACAGACACACATAAAGCACTTTTATGTTCAGCAAAATTTACAGTTTATATATTAATTTAATGGTATAAGAAATAATTTATGTAAATATTGGCAATTTACATTGTAATTATATATTATTATAGTTTTAAAATATAATGCAGTTAGCATTATCTAACCTTCTCAAAAACAAAGAGGGAGAAAATAAATCTTACCTCAATGAAAGAATCAATATGCAACATCAGAGCCTGTGTCCTACTGATGATAAACTGATTGACACATGCAACAGCATGAGACCTAGAAACAAAAATTTAAAACATATTCTCAATGCAGCTTTTTTCTATTTATAGAATATTGGCAAGAATATTCTTCCATAAAAATATTATTGTACATATATATCTCAACTTTATCATTCTCTTGCATTTATAAATAACTCTACTATATATGTGTACGTATGTGTGTGTGTGTGTGTGTGTATCTATATCTATCTATCTATCTATATATATAGGAGCTCTGGTAGCATAGTGCCTAAGGCACTTGACTGCTAACCAGGAGGCTGGCGGTTCAAATCAAGCAGCCACTCCTTGGAAGGAAGGTTGGGCAATCCTACTTCTGTAGTGATAACTGCCTCGGAAACCCAAGGAGGGGTCGCTAGGAGTCAGGGCCGACTCGATGGCAAATAACAACATATATATATAGAGAGAGAGAGAGAGAGATAATTTTTTGTGATTTGGGTCAAAGTTTATACAGCAAATTCATTTTCCACACAGCAGTTCATACACATTCTGTCTCAGGACACTGACTGCAATCTCCCACAGTGTAACAGCACTCTTCCCCCTAGTTACCTCTTCCTTGCGTCCTTCCCTCCCATGCACTCCCTGCCCCAAGCTGTCTCCCTGTGCATACATATACTGCCCTTCCATTTTCCCATGACTGATCCCAAGGACTGCATCTATCTAATGTGAATGTTCAGCTCACATGCCCATCTTTTGTTTGACTGGAAGCCACAGGAGTGGGTTCAATTCCAGACCTGACGAGAAGCTAGGGGCCATAGTCTCATGGGTTCCATCAGGCTCTATCAGACCAGCAAACCTGGTCCTTTCTTCTTCTTCTTCTTTTTTTTTTTTTTTAAATGATTTTGAGTTTTATTCCAGATTGTTCTCCTACCCTATCCAGGATCTCCTACACAGATCCCTCTCCAAGTGGTTGACAGTGACAGCCAGGCACCATCTAGTTCTTCCAGTCTTGTAGTCATATAAGCTGAGGATCGCTCGGTGTACCAGTCCCCTAGACTAATTGTTTCCATGCATCTTTGTTTTTTTTCATTCTTCTTTGCTCTCGATGAAGAGAGACCCAACTGTTGCATCTAGACGGCCGTCTGCAAACTTTTAAGATCCAAGATGCTACTCACCAAAGTAGGATGTGGAACGATGTTTTTGTGTAGTTGTTGTTGTTGTTAAGTGCCGTCAAGTCGTTTCCGACTCATAGCGACCCCATGCACAGCAGAACGAAACACTGCCCGATCCGCGCCAGCCCCACAATCCCTGCTATACTTGAGCCCATCGTCGCAGCCACCGTGTCAATCCATCTCATTGAAGGCCTCCCCCCATTTCGTCGACCCTCCACTTTTGTGTAGTACGATATGCCAAATGAGTTTAATGTCCCCTGTGACTATGGTCCTGAGCCCACAAGTCCAACCACTCCCTCCCTCTGGGTACTGGCTGTGACCAGAAAGTCACCACAACCTTGTTCCTTGTCAGCTCTACTATATACCTGGACATTTTTATAGAACATGTAAATATGCTTGTAGATACATCATCTGCCAACTCTATACAGAGTCATGGGCACATTCCCCCTGCCTAGACAGACCTGATTGTTCAGCCTGTCCACCCATCTATCTACCCTAGTTCAATGTTTGTCATCACTAACACAGTACTGTATGTGCAAAAGGGTTCATCTCTGTTTTATCTCCCATGTACCTCTCTCTGTCTTCCACTTCCTCAATGCCACTGTGCTCATCACTCACATTTGGTATATAGCCCTTCCCTTCCCCCAAATCAATACTTGTTTCTACCTATCTAGCACTGTTCCCTCCCCTCCTATCCCTGGTAATCAACAAAGAAAATTTCCTTCTAAATATAAAACCTTTCCTTGACTTTTCACAATTGTGGACTAATATAGTATTTGTCCTTCTGTGACTAACTTATTTCACTGAGTAATGTCCTCCAAGTTCATCCACACTATGGCAGTGTTTTGCAGAGTCTACATTACTCCTTAGGGCTGCATTGTATTCAACTGTGCATATGTACCATAGGTTATCCATTCTTCTGTTGATGGGCACCTAGGTTGTTTCTTTTCGCTACTGCAAATAGTGCTGCGATGAACATGGGTGTGCATGTATCTCTTCTTGTCCTGGCTCTCAAAAAGTGTGTATATGTATCTTTGTCTTTAATTTTATAAAAAGAGTATCACATTGAATGTAATCTTTGGGGATTTTTTATTTTTTTAAAAACTTATTATCATGTTGCTAAGATTCATCCGTATTTGTAACTATAGCTCACTTGCTTTGACTAATGTACACTATTTCACTGCATGACTATTCCACAATTTATTCATGCAGTTTCTTTTTGATGACCTTTCGGTTACTTCTGGGTTTTTATTATTGTGACCAGTGCTCCTCAAAGTATCATTAATCTTTTCTTCTCTTATCCATGTACAAGATTTTCTATTACATACGCACAGATGCCAAGATTGATAACTTTTAAAAAACCCCAACTTGTCCTTAAACAAAAGAACTTCAAATCAGCACTACTGTTAATCATTACAAATGCAATTAACCACATAAAAGGCAGAGAACTTTTTAATGAAAATTTCAATAGAAAGAATCAACATTTTATGGGCTGTTGTTTTTAAAGAAGTAAATTTCAATTCTATATTAAGTTTACCTTAGTGGAACATCCCATTCCTTTGCTAATCACAAAAATATTAGGTAATGAGAAGTAAGTGAGTAGTCAGGCTGTTATCAAAGCTTATAAATTCAGTATTAGATATATAAATACCTTATTTTTGGACTACTATGCTTGAAGAACTGTAAAAATTTGGGAATCATGATGTTGAGAGGACGATCTAAAACATCACTATCTAAAATCTCAGCAGAATCTTCACATATCTTCTGAAGAGCACCAAATGCTCCCTGTAAAAGATACGTATTATTAGTCTATCAAAAAAGTTATTTAAAAAGCAAACTGAGAACTATTGACCAACTTATGGATTGATGTTCTCAGTTAACATACAAGTGTTATATGTATAACATATAACACATAAGTGCTGTCTTCTAAAACCCATAAATTTAGTCATTCAATTTTTTTTTTAAAAAATCACTATTCTATTATCTATAGTCTCTATTTAACTTAACAGCACATTTTTATCTTAATATTAAATGACTTAAACCTAGGACTCTCTTACAGAGGCAAAATGTCTAAAAAGTTTCTGTTTAAAACAGATTTCTAAACAAACTGGAGGCCTAGAAATGAAAGATACTTAAAGTACTTATTGGCAGTAAGAAATTACAGGAAAATAAAACCATACAGACTCTCTCTTACCTTCCTAAATGGAAAGGTTGCTATTGATTTGATCAGGGGTAAATAACAAGAAAACAGTTAATATATGATTAAAATCTGAAGACACGTCACACAAGAAGAGGCACAAAAAATTTAGAAAAGCTTAAAAAGTACTCATGCTCTGGGAACTGGGCAAATTTCAGACTCTCTGTAAAAAATTTCATCATCACCTGACTGAGGCTGACAGTAGTCTGATAATCACACACATATATACCCAAGAACAGCTTTTAGAATATAAATATAAAGGAGGGGAGGGAAGGATATTCCTTATAGGAAATACAGTAATGAAGTTTTACAACTTGATGCTCTTAACTATGTAAAAAAAATAGTAAAATAAATGATTAGAAATGTGAGACACAAAGACAATTTCAGGCTCCTAAATTCTGAAGCTGTGTTTCAGAGAGAAAAATTCCCTACAAGGTTGCTGATGCACAAAATGATGAGAGACACAGAAAAGAAATACTATGGATGAAGCATGTATCTTACCTCACAGGTGTTGTAATCTTCAGAATCCAATAGGCTGCAGAGTTTTGGTAAGAGGTCAGGCCAATTCTGCAATTCTCCCTTAGAAGCTATGGTTGTAATTAAAATACCTTGGGGTAAAAAACACTCATCTTTAGGAAATTATACTGCATTCTGTTACTCACTGCCACAAAAGCAAGTGTGTACCCTTGTACAAACACACATTTTTAACTTCTCAAATCAATTCCAGACTTGCAAAGCGTTTAAACAGTAACACTTATCAATGATCCCCACATCACCATACTTTTTTTTGGGAAAAATCCCAGCATAAACCAAGTCTGTTTCTAATCTGTTTCCTGGCACTTCACTATCTCTTCACTTTTTTTTTTTTTTACCACCAAGTACCTGTATAAAAGACTATAACCTGTTCTTTTCCAGCATTACCAAGAATAGCTCCACTAATTAAAATCACTCCTATTAAAAAAAAAATATATATTATTTATTTAAAAATTGGGAATAAAGATAAGCACACTGAG